TTAACGTTAACCTTTGCATTTGCATTTAGAATAAGAGGTTACGAAAATTTAAGGCAAATAAAGTGAGTGCGAGGATTAATGTCGATTCGTGCATTTGTGTATTTATAAATATATCAATTACAACATAAATGGAGAAATCAACGTTAAACTTTGCATTTACATTTGTTTCGTTCTCGTTAGTTTTTCTTACATATGATTTATAAAATTGCGAATAACGTAAGAACGAAATGGAAGTAAGGAGCAAGAAGTTCGCACGATGCCTCGCGAGAGACAATAGACCGTACACGCGCCACCGATACATGATTCGATAAGCAATGAATCAACGCAAGGAAGTTTCACGAAAATATTTCGCGTACGACTGATCAAAGAGTAAAAAAACGTTCACCGGAAGACCGTTTAACGCGAACGAAGTAAACGATTCGGCAGCCTCGTTTCGTCGAAAGTCTCAGAATCGATTGTACGACCGTCGCGACGATACTTTCGTCGACTCCACGCCAGCGATTGTTAGGGAAACGCGCGCACGGTCTTCTACCTGATCTCAAAAATAGAACCGCGTTTTCCGTCGCCCCCTGTATCCACGTCGGATACGGTAAACGTTTTCGCGCGGGGCACGACACCGTCGCTGGCTTGTTCAATAACCGCCGCCACTTGTAACACTGTATCAGATATACTAATTCGCCAAGGAACGCACGGCGGTGATCTTGGCCTTTCGAGTGTCGGGTTACACGCGTTTCCGGCGAACGAAACTGTTCCGATTACCGATATCGCCCCCCGTTGTAAATTCGTTGAAAATTCGCTCGAGGAAAAGAAACTTCGTCGGATCGTTAGCGAAACGTCGCGGAAGAAACAATACAATTTTTACTTCGATACGAACCGAAAGTTTTTTTTTTTTGTTTGCATCTATTTCGGAAGCATTTTCAGTTGCTACCAACTGTACATGCTTTCCTTCACTCCATTGCGTATACGATTTACGTTTTCTTTTTTTTTTGTACTGTGGTGTCTTTTAATACCGTTTATAGTATCGCACATTCTTTTGCGTGTCTGTTGCCCTCCCCCCCCCTCCCCCCCCTCCCCTCTAGCTCGGGTACCTAGGGATCGCTAAACCCGTACTGTAGCTACAATTAAACATAGCTACAGCCCCTGAAGTTGAACCGAAAGTTGAATCTTCTTGGTGAAACGGAAGCAACGACTAAGACGGTCACCGAGGTTTCAGCCCACCACTCATCGACCAAACAAATAATCCACTAAAAATCAGGTGCATGTACGTTATTTACAGTGTCAATGGTGTCAAACTAGAGAATTCTAGAAATTATAATGTTATAAATTAGGGAATTGCTACGAGGAATTCATCGGGTTTCCTTTAACGAATGTTTGTCTGGATTATATTGCAACAAATGGCGATTTTGCCGCGACTTTTTTTTTCGTGAAAACGCTAAAACGGTGTTCGAGAACGAAACGCAACCGTCGATCAGCGATTGTTCGCGTCCGAATACGTTCGGCGTGTCCGCGCCATGAAAGCGGTACGCGTCGAGTCCAAAGTTCAACCGAACGGACTCTGCTGTCCGTGAATCACGAAAAAGTCATCGGGATTGTTAGGTGACGCGACGCCCAGTACATTCCAGCGATAAAAAAGTGTGCGCGGATCGACGCGAAATTGCGAAACCCTATAAATTTCGGTAAGTAAAAAAAATACTTTCGCGTGGCTACCGTGCCGAGGATGCACGTGCGCGAAGATTCGGCGTTCGATGTGTTTCATCCGACGATGCATTCCGGGAACTGTTTACGACACTTCGCTTTCGGGAGCAATACGTTAACGCTCAAACGCGAGGCTGACTTGCGCTGCAGTTTTTTTTTTATTTTTTTTTTTTTGGCAAATAGATAACGCTTATTATCGGATGTGAAAAATGTCGACATCGCTTCTTGCTTGAATGAACGTTCTAACATTCGTGCTAGCGTATTATCGGTATCGTTTTACGAAGAGCGAAGAACGTTTAACCCTGTACGATCAAAATTATGCTCTGGAAGAAATTGTTCGAACGGGACACTGACGTAACGTGATGATGGTTACATCTGAATAATTAATTGCGAAAATTAATTCTGTGCTTTTACATTTACACGATTATTATAACGGTCATTTCTACTTGAAAGTTGCATGATTTTTGTTTATAAATAAATGGCGAGTTAACCTTGGAAAGGCACAGAATTAATTTCAGTGGCTAATATATAGTTGAATTATGTTTGATCAAATAAACGTTGCAAATAAATTGTTACGTAAAGTTTCTATTCATCGTCTGTTACTTGAATCTGCGTATATCTGCTTAAGAGTTGTTACGAGCAGATTGTTCATCGTACACAGTTAGAAGAATGGAATCAGACATTGGAAATATACAGATTGTATAGGACGCAATCTCAAAGTGGTCCAAGGTTAAGGAATATTTAAAAAAAAAAAAAGTGAATATACTATTTAATACGGATTTTTGTGTGAATATGTACGTCGCGTTAGTCCACCGAAAAATAGATGATATTTTCGGGGATCTTCTGCGCACGCGCTCTTGCTAAATACACGAGCATTCAGGTATGACTGCGCGTACACAAGCGCATTTACCAAGCCACGCGCAAAAATCACCTGTAGGTGCTTTTACATTTATGAATTCACAAAGGGTAATAACTACCCACGAGACATGGATAAAGTACAATGCAACGTCAACGTCATCGTAATACACATCTATCATCTACGTTCTTAAAAGCGATTGCACGGTCAAAGTGCAGTATGCGCTCACTAATCATCGAGTTCTACGTTCAACTTTCAGTGGAAAGACTGTGAAATAAACGTAAACACGTTTCGACACGTTTGCAGTTTAACCTCTTGAGGGATGTTGACACATTCCTGTACGTTTATTTTTATATCAAAATTATGGTTACTTGGGATCGTGATACCTTTTAGAATTAAAAAACATTCCGTATCGAAGCGAGATAGTAAATCTGTATGTTCGAATCGATTTACAGATAAACGTTACTTTGATTTGTGTGTATTCGATCGGAGCAAACAAGAATCCTTTTAAAATTCATCCCTCGAGAGGTTAACGCATACATTACGAAATGAAATATGGCACCCTGCATGTCAACATCACCCTACCGCGTCATCAAATTTGTTCAAAAATTTCGCAACGTCAATAGTTCGATGTAAAAGTCACGGTTTGTCGATATCTCCTTAGCTCTACATCGAGCTTTCTCAAAAATTGAATCGCAAAGCGGAAAAATTGAAGCATGTAAGCTTTCTGTATTCGACGCAGTCGACGATAAAAAATTTGACGGTTCAACGACGCACGGCGCAGTCGCGAGGGTCGCGAACCGCGAGATACAAACATTTCGGAATTCGGAGTATAGATTAGGAAAGAAGTGCTCACCTTTGAACGTATTTCGGACGAGAGTCATGCTCATATTCGCGTGAGCGCGAGCCAGTGCTCCCCGAGGTACGTCTTGCGTCTCTTGGACGATTCCGCCAGGTTGAATGGTTCCGTAGCCGCGGAGCGTCTCGTGATCCCGGCTCAAGAGTTCGTCCAGCGTGATCTGTGACGTTTCAAGGTACAGCGACGCATGGTTGCACTTTTCCTCCCCGTTTCTCTTTCGAATCGTTCGATAGCTACGTCGCCGGTACGAGGTATCGATAACCGCCCGTTCCCGCGTCAAGAATCATCGATACGAATTACGGGGGGGCTCCGGGCACGTTCGATCGTAAGGACGATTCGTATGGGCAACGGAGTAAATGCCCGACGAGACGCGTATTTTTCTCGAGAACGATGGTTATTCACGTCCAGCGATGTTTCGGTGCGCGGCGGTTGCTCATCGTTACTCTCGTTTCCTCGTTGGTTCGGTCGCGTTGTATCGAGCAACGACAATCGACTCCGTGTGCCGCGATCGAGCAGCACCGGTTGCGTGTTCTCGATCACCGTTGATCGAGCCTCGATTCCGGATATCCACGCGCCGGTGAACGAGCACTCGCCGAGCGGTGAACATTAAAAGCAACGTGTCACTCGCGCGCACCGTAGAGTTCAACGAAACACGGGAATGTTGATCACGTTTCTTCTCTTCCGATGCGAAATAGACGAGCGAGCCAAGTGATCGCGGGAGACAGAGAGGAGGAGATAGAACGATAACAGCGACCAAGAGAGGTGAGAGGGCGGAGAATAGAGAGTCGGCCAAGAGACGAGGGAGAGAGGTTATGTGTGCAGACGACGACAGGAGAAATTCCAGCAGGCGGCAGCGCTGAGGTCCACGGATAGTTCGTCCGTTCCTTCGTTCCCCTCGTCTCGATAACTGACGATTCCACGACGATGATTCGAGAGGACCGATTGGGTGGGACGCGTCTCAGACTCGTTGGATTTTCGACGTTCGTCGCTGGTATGCCGAGTTGAAGATTGCGGGAATTACGAGGATCCTCTTGGTAGGATTCGCCAAAAAAAGGGTAACGAATCTCGAGATACAGCCTGTTTGCATGTGCATATCCGCTCGAGTCCGCGTCGTCCGTAAAGCTGACTCAATCCGCACAAAGAGCACTCCTGGCGATCATCTCTCGTGTCGGTCCGTTGTTTCTTCCCGCTCGGTCTTAAAGGATCGACGTCTCGGATTGAAAGGCGTACGTATAGCGAATTACACGATGCAGTGCACTGGCGACTTCCCAACTAATCACACTATACACTCTCGTGAATCGGGGATAGAAAAGAAGGGAACCTCGAAAAATAGAGGAAGACGGCGCACACCGGTTATATCCTTGGAAACGGGCCGTGCAGAAAGCGATACGATGCTCTTCTTTCGCCGTCTCCTCCTCCGCCGCCTTCTCCTTCTTCTTCTCTACCGATTCTTTTCATTCGCGTACGCGTTCCTCGCCACGCACAGAAGCAAAACACACTTAAGGAGACAGAGACCGGAGGGAAAGAATAGCGGGGAAAAAGACGGAGAGAAGAAAGGAACGAGGGAAGTGCGACGGTATCGGGAGAGCCGATGCTAGGGCATCGCAGAGAGCGGGCAAGGCAGAAATGTCGGTGTTACTACCAGCTTGGAGTAGCAAGCACCGGTAAAACACGGTCCTAACTAACACACATGGAGACAGATTGGGGACTGCTGCTTCGGAGTTTACTATAGGATGGGACGGATGGTGATGGCGGCCGTAGCGGACCAGCCACCGCCCCCATGCTTCTTCTCTCTCCCTTCGTCTCCCTTGCCGCGTTCGACCGCCCCCACCACCGTTTTCCTCCTGCTGATTCCTCCGCTCTCTACCTCTCCCCGTAACCGTTCCGACCGTTCTCCTATTCTCCCCCTCTATGCGTTATGACGGACACGCTGGAATCCCCCTCTACCAACATCCCAACTTACCCCCTTTCTCTACCACTCTCGCCTCCAGTCTCCTCTACATCTCTCCTCCTCTTCCTCTCGTTCCTCCGCAGGTCTGCCAGCCTTCCCTGGGCTCCCGAGATGTTATCCTCGAGCGATTCGTGCCGTACTATATATTCGTCTACCCGTGTCGTGTCGCCACATCCCCTACCTGCGTCGCATCTCGGCGTGTGCGTCGCTCGCAATCAAGGTCAGGAGCGTAGCCGTCCGACCGGGCACCCCGCGCCTATCGATTCACGCGATACACACACCCGGGGACGAACACAAAGGAGATAACTGAAACATCGCCAGAGGAAACATGCTCGGCGTCGTTGTTTTCAGTAATAGCGGTTTATGGATCGCTGCGGGAGCTTCTTATCGCGATGCATTCGTCCACCGGAAACCTGGTATCTTTTGAGCCCATTGGTTCACGGACGTGATTGCCTCCCTATTTATCTGCCGAATGCTGAAGGATGCGTGCTGTGCCGATATTGTATTTATGGTACAGTCTCGACCAGTAAAAATTGTTCGCCACTCGCGATTACGCGGCGGTCGATATAGACCACGTAACTAGTAATTGAGTAGATGGATTTTGTTACGAACTCGAACTGATTGTAGCCTCTAACGACGGTTGAGGTACGTTGGAAGGTGTAACTCTCTTCAGGTACCATATGTGACAAGGCTTTTCACCGAGGAACTAGAAGAATTAATCCCAAAAGTGTCAAGTATAACAATTCTAAATAAGATTCGTGAATTTTCATAAACATTCACGATTTTAACGAACCTCTTGAGGGACGAATTTTAAATGGACTTCTTTTTTTATAATCGAATGTTAACATACAAATATGCTGTCTCCCTCTAACATGGTACATTTTTGAATTCCTTTCAATTTCATTAATTTTTATATAAAAGCGAATGTACATGTGTCATACCTCGAGACATATGGCGTGTAAATTATAACGATCATAATTGTTAAGAAAATTTATTCCAATTGTAATTTATTATTGCAATCGATCTTAAACGAGCTGCAATCGCGTGAATATTTCACGAAAGTGACCGAACGGAGTTACGAATAATTACGTGGCTCATGGAGATTTCACGAAGCATTTAGCAATAAAACACGATTCGAATACCTCGGAGTCGAAGGGGAAACGCGATAAACGTTCCGTAGAGCGCGCGGTTATCTTCGGTTGATTCCCTTGACTTTTCACCGGCGTGAGGTATGTAATACGTTCGGTGTAGACAAGAAGAAGCTCTTATTCGCGATGCAATCTACGTCGCCAACGCATCGGTATCAGCAAAATTTTCCATTAGGTCAGCTTCTTCCTGGTAGGAATAGCGATGTAACGATAAACAGGTCTAGTATTGCGAAAATGTTGATGCGTATTTACTGGCACATAGGTGGACTGCTCGCAGCATCCCGTTTCAGCGAGATAATAGGAATAAATCCCTACGCGGGTCATGAATCGTGTGTTCTAAAATTATTAATTAAGAGAATTGACTTCTTCTGGCGCAGCGCAAAAATATTAGTAGAAAGTGTAAGAAAAATAACATTGATTCTCACAATTACTATTCTCTCGTATTACTGACGAAACTAAGAATCACACGATCGAAAACGTTCGAATAAATTTAACTCGGCTAGCCACTCGGAAACCACGGAAGTTCTTTGGCGGACTTGTGTTATTTATTCGACTTTCCACGGTTCACCGGCGGTCTTTGTCTCGTTTCCGGATCGCTGTCTCTTTCGAGTAGTCGGAATAAACGGCAGATAAACGCGGAGCCGCGAGAAAGAGACGACAGAGGAAAGCGAGGCTAGCACAGAGAGGCAAGGTAGCTTATCGTCGGAAACGACGATATTGACGGTTAATGTAAGTACGTACATACGTACAGTCGCGACGAAAGCAGAGACGGCGAGCAGTGGCGGCAGTGTCCGATACTATTATTAGTGTGCAGCTGCCTGCGAATTACTGAATGAAAGGGAAGGACCGCTTCGAAACAATGTCCGAAAGAGACGGGAGCGAGGCTGAATCGCTAAGCGAGAGACATCGGACGATTATTTAGGGCCAGACGTGTATACACGACGAGAACGAAAGCGTGATCCGACCTCGTATCGGTAGTGAACGTTGATTCGTAAATTAGTACAAATTCGTTCTTGTTAATCCCGTAGGATAGGTTCAATCGAACTTGGGAAGTTATTACATCAATCGACTTTGTTGCACGCAGTGAAATATCAAAGTATCCCCCGGATCGTCTCGATGGAACCGTTTAAATACCGAGTTAGAACGTGGAAACTACTCGAGGAATTAATTAAAAGTAATTATTTTTCTCGAAGCCCTGACTAAAATCAAAAATAAAATACTATGAGCTGAGATTAAGAGAACACGTGACAGTAACGGCTTGTTGTAGTTTATATGTACAGAAATGATATAAAAAATCAATTTTTAATACAGTTTATTCAACCATATCCGTTACATCTAGTAGTGTATACTTTGACGATGGATATAGCGGATATGGACGATTAAAATGTATTTAAAATTTATTTGTTATATCGTTCAATGCGCGTATATTAACTGTAATAAGCAATAAATTTATTTACTTGCGTTGCTCGTTTGAAAAGAATTCTCGAAGCGGTTACTGTGATGTGCTTCCTTAAATTATACAAAAAGACAGAAAAGTATCCAAGTAAATTTACATCATTCTCTTGAAAACGTGTACGCGCAAATGTACGCTCGTTAGAAGCTCCAAAATGACCGTCCCCTAATTTGCTAATTTTTTGTAATTGTTTCAATGATCAAGAAACTTATCAAGAAATTCGGAAACGAAGCTCGAGACCGTTGCTTGCAAGCACCGTGCTCGTCAAGTACACGAAACTTAGTATTCGTTTGGAGCAACGAAAGCATTTATCGCGGTGGGCGATAAATTATTTTGAAAAGTCATATATCATGCGCTCGAACTTACGTATCGGGTTACAGACGCTCGACAATTATTTACCGTCACCTACGTCGCTTTGAAAGCGAGCGAAAGGTCTAACAGAGTCTCCTCTGATAAGTATAAACGTTGATTCACATACGAGGAGAGAATTGTCCGCAAAATTAATTTGTGACATAGTCGCACACGTCTATTTCAGAACCGAGACACATGGAAGAATAAACATACGCGTCTCGCGTACACATCGCGCTACAAGCAACGATTAGAAGGGACCTGAGAAAATCTTTTCGATGGTCTGTTTTTGCTACGGAAGCTATAACATAAATTGTACATCAAACTTTGTCGTTTCGTTTCTTGAATAAAGGTCGACAGTGTTTCCACAGTGTTTACGGAAATGAATGACGCAGCATTTGGAGGTGAAAAGTCACGTATAGATTAGGATAGATACTGTACACCGTCCAGCAAACTTGAAAAGCTATGACAACGTTAACCAGCAGTGCAAACTGTAAAAACAGTGTACTATTATTAAATCTGAACCTAGAGATTATGCCTGAAACTAAAATTGAATAGTATACACTGAGATTTAGTTTGCAATCAATTTTCAAAATGTCTTACCGATGAAATATAGTATTTCTCGTTGATTTATGAATATTATTTCTCTAGTTACCAAGAATTTCTCGTTTTGGATTCGCTTCGAATCATAATTGTTTATGCGGAACGAAGTAGCGTGTGAACGAGAGCGGAGGGATCTCCGTTGCACACAATTTTCTTGTGTTCAAGTGCTAAACGAGAAGCGTCGGGCTACGATCGTTTACAGTCAGACTTATGTGCCAGCGAAAGCATAGCCGGGCCATCTCCATTCAACGAGTACTGGGCAATTAAAGCCAATAGTTGCCCGACCCTCTCTCCCAAAGGTCTCGTCTCGAGGTGTTGAATTTCTTGGTATTTCACGAGTCGAACCTCCACGTTCTGCAAACGTTTCTCCAGAATCCCACAATTGTTTACCGCCTTGACGGTATTTTTACACGACTGGAAAATTATCGGATATCTTCAGAGATCATTCAAGTGGTACTGACCACGATCTTTACGTTGGTCAAGTGGAACAGTGCTTTCATATTATGCATTAAAATGTTTGTTGTCTAACCGTTTCAATTCCTCTTCTGTAACGTGTTTGAAACTATTAAAAGCTACGTATCTCGAATCCTATGCACCTTTATTTTCTTTAAATCTTCACCTTGGAAATTCATTCGCCCAGTTTTTTAGTAGAAACTCCTGTCACTCATATGCACATCGAATAATTCTTTTTCCTCTCATCTTCTTAATTGTCTCAATTTTCCTAGATTCGTTTCTTATAACAATTTACATAAATAATAAATAGCATTACCCGAACACTCCCACCGATACTATCGTCTCAAATTGGACTCCCACGCTTCCACCGTGTCCGGAATTTCGATGCATCTCGGGCGATTCTCAGCGAGCAGTTCCCCTGGTAAACACGGTTTACCTCGTTTTCCATTTTTCCTGGTCGGGAACAAAGGGGAAAGAAAACGTCCGCGTTTCGCTGGTGACGAGTCAAGTGTCTCGATCGAGGGTGCGCGAGATCGTTGCTCTCCCGATGATAAGCAAAACTGAAAGGAGGGGGACGTCCCATCGTGCGTACGGCACTGCGTGATCTCCGACGCGGCGGGTCCAGCAATGACGCGGAGATCACCGAGCGTGTCCGAGCGCAGCCGAGAACGATCGAGTGGGAGTAGAACGGGTCGCGTGGTGGGGATGGCTCGTCTCCTCCTGAGGGGAATTCCCCGATGCCTGTGCGGTGTGGTGACCATACTGTGTCCCTTTTTGTTGCCGCCCATTAGGCGCCACCGCGGCGTGATTCGCAACCGTGTTTCTTTATCTTCGGCGTAGCCGTGTCTCGACTAGAGTACGAACGACCGAATGCACGCGTTCTTGCCTATCTTTCCACCCTGGTTTTTTTCCATCTCTGTCCTCCTCCTCCCCCCCCCCCCCCAATCACTCCCCGCGTCTTGCT